CATCTACACAGGCACCTGTGGCCTCGGTATCTGCAGTTATGCAGCGTTTTCACAGCGTCGTGTGTCGTTTCTCTATTTTCCAACCCTTAACCCCACAAATGGGGGGGGGGCGGGGAAGAAAACACAACAACAAAAAAACATGTTCTTACTCACAAACCACCTCGGACTTTAAGGATTATAAAAATCTACAGGAATATGACTCCACAGTTCATGCACATGGAAACCTCGTCATAGTTGGATACTAGGAAAGGGGAATCAACAACAACAAGAGGTGAGGAGTTTGTGCAAGAGATTTACAAGGGGAAAAAAAAATAAAAGAGGATGGAGCGAAGTAGGATCTGTTAAGGGCCCACGATGGTGTCATGTCCTCAATGAGGCAGGAGCCGAGATGGGCAAGGAGAGCTTCCTAGAAGGGCGAGTGTTAAGCCCTGATGGAAGGAATCCAGGGGAGTCATTTCAGAAGGGGGTGTGAAAGCTGCTTAGGACAGCAGGTCTCCTCTCCTCTTCAGGAGGGAATTGGAATGTTCTGGTGTTTCAGTTCCTGCCCTTTTATATTCAGATCCCACTATGTGTGCCTGGGCTTCCTGGGGCTACGGAACCAGTCACTACAAAGGGCCAGCAGGAAGATGGCAGCCCTGAGCTGGACGTTTAGATCTCAGTTTTAACACTTCCAGCTGTTGGCTCTGGGCAAATAATCAGCAGCTTATACCCCCTCACTCCCTGCCTCAGTTTCTTCATCTGTAAAATAAGGACATCGCCTTCCTTGCAGGGAGGCTGGGACGGTTTAATAAACCTGGCATGATAGGAAACCTACGGGAAGTGGCCAGCGAATGCTTGTTGAAAAACAGGACGGATGTGGGGTTATAGTCAGTGATTAAAGAAACATAATTATATGATTACTCTACTTCCTTAGGGCTTCTTCCTTTGAAAAATAACATGTATTTTCTATCAATGCTAAATGCCCAAACACTTCTGCAATAAAAGGTTTTAATCCTCTTTGAAGAAAGCAACTAAGGCAGAGCTAAACGCAGCGCCCCACTTCCTCGGTGAGTCATCAGCAGAGCTGGATGATGCTGCTGTCGCTGCGTGATCCTTTAACTCCTCCAGCTGTGTGGCCAGATGAGTGTCAATGGTATTCACTAAGTGGCCATTCCACATGGAGATGAGGCTGCGATAGGGCAGTAACAACCAGCATCTCAGGGTCCAAAGTCTTGGGTTCCATTCCTGGTTCTACCAGTTATTACCACGGGGCCTCAATTAGGTAAGTAAGTGTGGTAAACAGAATAAGGGCCCAAAAGACAGCCATATCCTAATTCCTGAAACCTGTAAATACATTACATTACATGGCAAAAGGGACTCTGCAGGTGTGATTAAGTTAAGGACCCTTTGGCACAGAGTCTTAGAAAACTTCTCTGCCCTGAAACCTGAAGTCTGTAGAGGATAACTGGCAGATGATTAAGAAATGGGAAAAAAACAACAACAAAGAACACTCTAAAGTGACAGGAAAAGATGAGTTACTCTTGGGAGTCTGATGAACATGCTTCTGTTGCTGAAGACGGTTCCGAAGACTAGATGCCTGTGGAT